GGGGGGGGGGGGTGGTGAGCTCTGGACTAGTCCACTCACTCATAGGGGGGGTGAACTCTGGACTAGTCCACTCATAGGGGGGGTGATCTCTGGACTAGTCCACTCACTCATGGGGGGGGGGGTGGTGAGCTCTGGACTAGTCCACTCACTCATAGGGGGGGGTGATCTCTGGACTAGTCCACTCATAGGGGGGGTGATCTCTGGACTAGTCCACTCACTCATGGGGGGGGGGGGTGGTGAGCTCTGGACTAGTCCACTCACTCATAGGGGGGGTGAACTCTGGACTAGTCCACTCATAGGGGGGGTGATCTCTGGACTAGTCCACTCACTCATAGGGGGGGTGAACTCTGGACTAGTCCACTCATAGGGGGGTGATCTCTGGACTAGTCCACTCACTCGTAGGGGGGGGGGGGGGTGGTGAGCTCTGGACTAGTCCACTCACTCATAGGGGGGGTGATCTCTGGACTAGTCCACTCACTCATAGGGGGGGTGAACTCTGGACTAGTCCACTCATAGGGGGGGTGATCTCTGGACTAGTCCACTCACTCATAGGGGGGGTGAACTCTGGACTAGTCCACTCATAGGGGGGTGATCTCTGGACTAGTCCACTCACTCGTAGGGGGGGTGAACTCTGGACTAGTCCACTCACTCATGGGGGGGTCTGATATTTTTTTTTTACCCACAATGCCCTAGGAGACGGATGATTACCGATACTTTGACCCAAAGCTGATCCGTGGAAATGACAGGTATTGTGTGTATGTCACTGTGTGTGTGTCACTGTGTGTGTGTCACTGTGTGTGTCACTGTGTGTGTGTCACTGTGTGTGTGTGTGTGTCACTGTGTGTGTGTGTGTCACTGTGTGTGTGTCACTGTGTGTGTGTCACTGTGTGTGTGTGTGTGTCACTGTGTGTGTGTGTGTCACTGTGTGTGTGTCACTGTGTGTGTGTCACTGTGTGTGTGTCACTGTGTGTGTGTCACTGTGTGTGTGTCACTGTGTGTGTCACTGTGTGTGTCACTGTGTGTGTGTCACTGTGTGTGTGTCACTGTGTGTGTGTCACTGTGTGTGTGTGTGTGTCACTGTGTGTGTGTGTGTCACTGTGTGTGTGTCACTGTGTGTGTGTCACTGTGTGTGTGTCACTGTGTGTGTGTCACTGTGTGTGTGTGTCACTGTGTGTGTGTGTCACTGTGTGTGTGTGTGTGTCACTGTGTGTGTGTGTGTCACTGTGTGTGTGTCACTGTGTGTGTGTCACTGTGTGTGTGTCACTGTGTGTGTGTCACTGTGTGTGTGTCACTGTGTGTGTGTGTCTGTGTGTGTGTCACTGTGTGTGTGTCACTGTGTGTGTGTCACTGTGTGTGTGTCACTGTGTGTGTGTGTCACTGTGTGTGTGTCACTGTGTGTGTGTCACTGTGTGTATGTAACTGTGTGTGTGTCTGTGTGTGTGTGGCACTGTGTGTGTGTCACTGTGTGTGTGTCACTGTGTGTGTGTGTCACTGTGTGTGTCACTGTGTGTGTGTCACTGTGTGTGTCACTGTGTGTGTGTCACTGTGTGTGTGTCACTGTGTGTGTCACTGTGTGTGTGTTTCACTGTGTGTGTGTCACTGTGTGTGTGTCACTGTGTGTGTCACTGTGTGTGTGTCACTGTGTGTGTCACTGTGTGTCACTGTGTGTGTGTCACTGTGTGTGTCACTGTGTGTGTGTCACTGTGTGTGTGTCACTGTGTGTGTCACTGTGTGTGTGTGTCACTGTGTGTGTGTCACTGTGTGTGTGTCACTGTGTGTGTCACTGTGTGTGTGTCACTGTGTGTGTGTCACTGTGTGTGTGTGTGTCACTGTGTGTGTGTGTCACTGTGTGTGTGTGTCACTGTGTGTGTGTCACTGTGTGTGTCACTGTGTGTGTGTCACTGTGTGTGTCACTATGTGTGTCACTGTGTGTGTGTCACTGTGTGTGTCACTGTGTGTGTCACTGAGTGTGTCACTGTGTGTGTGTCACTGTGTGTGTCACTGTGTGAGTCACTGTGTGTGTCACTGTGTGTGTGTCACTGTGTGTGTGTGTCACTGTGTGTGTGTCACTGTGTGTGTGTCACTGTGTGTGTGTCACTGTGTGTGTGTCACTGTGTGTGTGTCACTGTGTGTGTGTGTCACTGTGTGTGTGTGTCACTGTGTGTGTGTCACTGTGTGTGTCACTGTGTGTGTGTCACTGTGTGTGTCACTATGTGTGTCACTGTGTGTGTGTCACTGTGTGTGTCACTGTGTGTGTCACTGTGTGTGTGTCACTGTGTGTGTGTCACTGTGTGTGTCACTGTGTGTGTGTCACTGTGTGTGTGTCACTGTGTGTGTGTCACTGTGTGTGTCACTGTGTGTGTCACTGTGTGTGTGTCACTGTGTGTGTGTCACTGTGTGTGTCACTGTGTGTGTCACTGTGTGTGTCACTGTGTGTGTCACTGTGTGTGTGTCACTGTGTGTGTCACTGTGTGTGTCACTGTGTGTGTGTCACTGTGTGTGTCACTGTGTGTGTGTCACTGTGTGTGTGTCACTGTGTGTGTGTCACTGTGTGTGTGTCACTGTGTGTGTCACTGTGTTTGTCACTGTGTGTGTGTCACTGTGTGTGTGTCACTGTGTGTGTGTCACTGTGTGTGTCACTGTGTGTGTGTCACTGTGTGTGTCACTGTGTGTGTGTCACTGTGTGTGTGTCACTGTGTGTGTGTGTGTCACTGTGTGTGTCACTGTGTGTGTGTCACTGTGTGTGTCACTGTGTGTGTCACTGTGTGTGTCACTGTGTGTGTGTGTCACTGTGTGTGTCACTGTGTGTGTCACTGTGTGTGTGTCACTGTGTGTGTGTCACTGTGTGTGTCACTGTGTGTGTCACTGTGTGTGTGTCACTGTGTGTGTGTGTCACTGTGTGTGTGTCACTGTGTGTGTCACTGTGTGTGTGTCACTGTGTGTGTCACTATGTGTGTCACTGTGTGTGTGTCACTGTGTGTGTCACTGTGTGTGTGTCACTGTGTGTGTGTCACTGTGTGTGTCACTGTGTGTGTCACTGTGTGTGTGTCACTGTGTGTGTCACTGTGTGTGTGTCACTGTGTGTGTCACTGTGTGTGTGTCACTGTGTGTGTCACTGTGTGTGTGTGTCACTGTGTGTGTGTCACTGTGTGTGTGTGTCACTGTGTGTGTGTCACTGTGTTTGTTTGTCTGCAGCTCAACAGCCCGAAGCAAAAATCCCTTCCAGGAGGTGAGCAAGGTCTCCGGTGGTCGTGTGAGCGAGGTCACCGGTTGGTTGTGTGAGCGAGGTCACCGGTGGTCGTGTGAGCGAGGTCACCATTGGTCGTGTGAGCGAGGTCACCGGTTGGTCGTGTGAGCGAGGTCACCGGTGGTCGTGTGAGCGAGGTCACCGGTTGGTCGTGTGAGCGAGGTCACCGGTTGGTCGTGTGAGCGAGGTCACCGGTGGTCGTGTGAGCGAGGTCACCATTGGTCGTGTGAGCGAGGTCACCGGTTGGTCTTGTAAGCGAGGTCACCGGTTGGTCGTGTGAGCGAGGTCACCGGTGGTCGTGTGAGCGAGGTCACCGGTTGGTCGTGTGAGCGAGGTCACCGGTTGGTTGTGTGAGCGAGGTCACCGGTGGTCGTGTGAGCGAGGTCACCATTGGTCGTGTGAGCGAGGTCACCGGTTGGTCGTGTGAGCGAGGTCACCGGTTGGTCGTGTGAGCGAGGTCACCGGTGGTCGTGTGAGCGAGGTCACCGGTTGGTCGTGTGAGCGAGGTCACCGGTTGGTTGTGTGAGCGAGGTCACCGGTGGTCGTGTGAGCGAGGTCACCGGTGGTCGTGTGAGCGAGGTCACCGGTGGTCGTGTGAGCGAGGTCACCGGTGGTCGTGTGAGCGAGGTCACCGGTGGTCGTGTGAGCGAGGTCACCGGTTGGTCGTGTGAGCGAGGTCACCGGTGGTCGTGTGAGCGAGGTCAACGGTTGGGCGTGTGAGCGAGGTCACCGGTTGGTCGTGTGAGCGAGGTCACCGGTGGGCGTGTGAGCGAGGTCACCGGTGGTCGTGTGAGCGAGGTCACCGGTGGGCGTGTGAGCGAGGTCACCGGTGGTCGTGTGAGCGAGGTCACCGGTGGTCGTGTGAGCGAGGTCACCAGTGGTCGTGTGAGCGAGGTCAACGGTTGGGCGTGTGAGCGAGGTCACCGGTTGGTCGTGTGAGCGAGGTCACCGGTGGGCGTGTGAGCGAGGTCACCGGTGGTCGTGTGAGCGAGGTCACCGGTGGTCGTGTGAGCGAGGTCACCGGTTGGTCGTGTGAGCGAGGTCACCGGTGGCTGTGTCTGTGTAGGCTGTTGTCTTCATGATCGGAGGTGGGAACTACATTGAGTACCAGAATCTGATGGACTACATCAAGGTGACACACACAGTGACACACACACAGTGACACACACACACAGTGACACACACACACAGTGACACACACACACAGTGACACACACACAGTGACACACACACACAGTGACACACACACAGTGACACACACACACAGTGACACACACAGTGACACACAGTGACACATACAGTGACACACACAGTGACACACACACAGTGACACACACAGTGACACACACACACACACAGTGACACACACAGTGACACACACAGTGACACACACACACACAGTGACACACACACAGTGACACAGTGATACACACAGTGACACACACACAGTGACACACACAGTGACACACACAGTGACACACACACAGTGACACACACACAGTGACACACACACAGTGACACACACACAGTGACACACACACAGTGACACACACAGACTCACCACACAGAGACCCACAGACTCACCACACAGAGACCCACAGACTCACCACACAGAGTCCCATAGACTCACCACACAGAGACCCACAGACTCACCACACAGAGACCCATAGACTCACCACACAGAGACCCACAGACTCACCACACAGAGACCCACAGACTCACCACACAGAGACCCATAGACTCACCACACAGAGACCCATAGACTCACCACACAGAGACCCATCGACTCACCACACAGAGACCCACAGACTCACCACACAGAGACCCACAGACTCACCACACAGAGACCCATAGACTCACCACACAGAGACCCATAGACTCACTCACACAGAGACCCACAGACTCACCACACAGAGACCCACAGACTCACCACACAGAGACCCACAGACTCACTACACAGAGACCCATAGACTCACCACACAGAGACCTATAGACTCACCACACAGAGACCCATAGACTCATCACACAGAGACCCATAGACTCACCACACAGAGACCCACAGACTCACCACACAGAGACCCATAGACTCACCACACAGAGACCCATAGACTCATCACACAGAGACCCATCGACTCACCACACAGAGACCCACAGACTCACCACACAGAGACCCACAGACTCACCACACAGAGACCCATCGACTCACCACACAGAGACCCATAGACTCACCACAGAGACCCATAGACTCACCACACAGAGACCCATAGACTCACCACACAGAGACCCATAGACTCACCACACAGAGACCCATCGACTCACCACACAGAGACCCATAGACTCACCACACAGAGACCCACAGACTCACCACACAGAGACCCATCGACTCACCACACAGAGACCCATAGACTCACCACACAGAGACCCATAGACTCACCACACAGAGACCCACAGACTCACCACACAGAGACCCACAGACTCAGCACACAGAGACCCACAGACTCACTCACACAGAGACCCACAGACTCACCACACAGAGACCCACAGACTCATCACACAGAGACCCACAGACTCACCACACAGAGACCCATAGACTCACCACACAGAGACCCATAGACTCACCACACAGAGACCCATAGACTCACCACACAGAGACCCATAGACTCACTCACACAGAGACCCATAGACTCACTCACACAGAGACCCACAGACTCACCACACAGAGACCCATCTACTCACCACACAGAGACCCATAGACTCACCACACAGAGACCCACAGACTCACCACACAGAGACCCACAGACTGAGTGTCTGAGTGAGTGGCTGAGTGAGTGAGTGAGTGGCTGAGTGAGTGGCTGAGTGAGTGGCTGAGTGAGTGGCTGAGTGAGTGAGTGGCTGAGTGAGTGAGTGGCTGAGTGAGTGAGTGGCTCAGTGAGTGAGTGGATGAGTGAGTGGCTGAGTGAGTGAGTGGCTGAGTGAGTGAGTGGCTGATTGAGTGAGTGGCTGAGTGAGTGAGTGGCTGAGTGAGTGAGTGGCTGAGTGAGTGAGTGGCTGATTGAGTGAGTGAGTGGCTGAGTGAGTGAGTGGCTGAGTGAGTGAGTGGCTGAGTAAGTGAGTGAGTGGGTGAGTGAGTGAGTGAGTGGCTGAGTGAGTGGGTGAGTGAGTGAGTGGCTGAGTGAGTGGGTGAGTGAGTGAGTGGCTGAGTGAGTGGCTGAGTGAGTGAGTGGGTGAGTGGCTGAGTGAATTGCTGAGTGAGTGGCTGTGTGGCTGAGTGAGTGGCTGAGTGAGTGAGTGGCTGAGTGAGTGAGTGGCTGAGTGAGTGAGTGGCTGAGTGAGTGAGTGGCTGAGTGAGTGAGTGGCTGAGTGAGTGAGTCAGTGGTTGAGTAAATGAGTGGCTGAGGGAGTTGATGGCTGAGTGAGTGGCTTAGTGAGTAGGTGAGTGTATCTGTCTTTGTGTGTCACTGTGTGTGTGTGTCACTGTGTGTGTCACTGTGTGTGTGTCACTGTGTGTGTCACTGTGTGTGTCACTGTGTGTGTCACTGTGTGTGTCACTGTGTGTGCAGACTAAGCCGGGCAAGCGTGTAACTTACGGCTCTACGGAACTTTTGAATTCTACACAGTTCCTCAAACAGGTTTGTCTATGTAGTGTGTGTCTATGTAGTGTGTCTATGTAGTGTGTCTATGTAGTAGTGTGTCTATGTAGTGTGTCTATGTAGTGTGTGTCTATGTAGTGTGTCTATGTAGTAGTGTGTCTATGTAGTAGTGTGTCTGTAGTGTGTCTATGTAGTGTGTCTATGTAGTAGTGTATCTATGTAGTGTGTATGTGTAGTAGTGTGTCTATGTAGTGTGTCTATGTAGTGTGTCTATGTAGTAGTGTGTCTATGTAGTAGTGTGTCTATGTAGTGTGTCTATGTAGTGTGTCTATGTAGTGTGTCTATGTAGTAGTGTGTCTATGTAGTAGTGTGTCTATGTAGTGTGTCTATGTAGTAGTGTGTCTATGTAGTAGTGTGTCTATGTAGTAGTGTGTCTGTAGTGTGTCTATGTAGTGTGTCTATGTAGTGTGTCTATGTAGTGTGTCTATGTAGTAGTGTGTCTATGTAGTAGTGTGTCTATGTAGTGTGTCTATGTAGTGTGTGTCTATGTAGTGTGTCTATGTAGTAGTGTGTCTATGTAGTGTGTCTATGTAGTGTGTATCTATGTAGTGTGTCTATGTAGTAGTGTGTCTATGTAGTGCGTCTATGTAGTGTGTCTATGTAGTAGTGTGTCTATGTAGTAGTGTGTCTATGTAGTAGTGTGTCTGTAGTGTGTCTATGTAGTGTGTCTATGTAGTAGTGTGTCTATGTAGTGTGTATGTGTAGTAGTGTGTCTATGTAGTGTGTCTATGTAGTGTGTCTATGTAGTAGTGTGTCTATGTAGTAATGTGTCTGTAGTGTGTCTATGTAGTGTGTCTATGTAGTGTGTGTATGTAGTAGTGTGTCTATGTAGTGTGTCTATGCAGTAGTGTGTCTATGTAGTGTGTCTATGTAGTGTGTCTATGTAGTGTGTCTATGTAGTAGTAGTGTCTATGTAATAGTAGTGTCTATGTAGTAGTGTGTCTATGTAGTAGTGTGTCTATGTAGTAGTAGTGTCTATGTAGTTGTGTCTATGCAGTAGTTTGTCTATGTAGTAGTGTCTATGTAGTAGTAGTGTCTATGTAGTAGTGTGTCTATGTAGTAGTAGTGTCTATGTAGTAGTGTGTCTATGTGGTAGTAGTGTCTATGCAGTAGTAGTGTCTATGTAGTAGTGTGTCTATGTAGTAGTATGTCTATGTAGTAGTGTGTCTATGTAGTGTGTCTATGTAGTGTGTCTATTTAGTAGTAGTGTCTATGAAGTAGTGTGTCTATGTAGTAGTGTGTCTATGTGGTAGTAGTGTCTATGTGGTAGTGTGTCTATGTAGTAGTGTGTCTATGTAGTAGTGTGTCTATGTAGTAGTCTGTCTATGTAGTAGTAGTGTCTATGTATTAGTGTGTCTATGTAGTAGTGTGTCTATGTAGTAGTGTGTCTATGTGATAGTAGTGTCTATGTAGTAGTGTGTCTATGTAGTAGTGTGTCTATGTAGTAGTGTGTCTATGTAGTCGTAGTGTCTATGTAGTAGTGTGTCTATGTAGTAGTGTGTCTATGTAGTGTGTCTATGTAGTAGTAGTGTCTATGTAGTAGTGTGTCTATGTAGTAGTGTGTCTATGTAGTAGTGTGTCTATGTAGTAGTGTGTCTATGCTATGTAGTAGTGTGTCTATGTAGTAGTGTGTCTATGTAGTGTGTCTATGTAGTAGTGTGTCTATGTAGTAGTAGTGTCTATGTAGTAGTGTGTCTATGTAGTGTCTATGTAGTAGTGTGTCTATGTAGTAGTGTGTCTATGTAGTAGTAGTGTGTCTATGTAGTAGTGTGTCTGTGTAGTAGTAGTAGAGTCTATGTAGTAGTAGTGTCTATGTAGTAGTGTGTCTATGTAGTAGTAGTGTCTATGTAATAGTAGTGTCTATGTAGTAGTGTGTCTATGTAGTAGTGTGTCTATGTAGTAGTAGTGTCTATGTAGTTGTAGTGTCTATGCAGTAGTGTGTCTATGTAGTAGTGTCTATGTAGTAGTTTCTATGTAGTAGTGTGTCTATGTAGTAGTAGTGTCTATGTAGTAGTGTGTCTATGTAGTAGTAGTGTCTATGCAGTAGTAGTGTCTATGTAGTAGTAGTGTCTATGAAGTAGTGTGTCTATGTAGTGTGTCTATGTAGTGTGTCTATTTAGTAGTAGTGTCTATGAAGTAGTGTGTCTATGTAGTAGTGTGTCTATGTGGTAGTAGTGTCTATGTGGTAGTGTGTCTATGTAGTAGTGTGTCTATGTGGTAGTGTGTCTATGTAGTAGTGTGTCTATGTAGTAGTGTGTCTATGTAGTAGTAATGTCTATGTATTAGTGTGTCTATGTAGTAGTGTGTCTATGTAGTAGTGTGTCTATGTAGTAGTGTGTCTATGTGATAGTAGTGTCTATGTAGTAGTGTGTCTCTGTAGTAGTGTGTCTATGTAGTAGTGTCTATTTAGTAGTGTGTCTATGTAGTAGTGTGTCTATGTAGTAGTGTGTCTATGTAGTAGTAGTGTCTATGTAGTAGTGTGTCTATGTAGTAGTGTGTCTATGTCGTAGTAGAGTCTATGTAGTAGTATTGTGTCTATGTAGTAGTAGTGTCTATGTAGTAGTTTGTCTATGTAGTAGTGTCTATGTAGTAGTGTGTCTATGTAGTAGTATGTCTATGTATTAGTGTGTCTATGTAGTAGTGTGTCTATGTAGTAGTGTGTCTATGTAGTAGTGTATGTAGTAGTGTGTCTATGTAGTGGTGTGTCTATGTAGTGGTGTGTCTATGTAGTGGTGTGTCTATGTAGTTGTGTGTCTATGTAGTAGTGTTTATGTAGTAGTGTTTATGTAGTAGTGTGTCTATGTAGTAGTGTGTCTATGTAGTAGTGTGTCTATGTAGTAGTAGTAGTGTCTATGTAGTAGTGTATGTAGTAGTGTGTCTATGTAGTAGTGTGTCTATGTAGTAGTGTTTATGTAGTAGTGTGTCTATGTAGTAGTGTCTATGTGGTAGTGTGTCTATGTAGTAGTGTGTCTATGTAGTAGTGTGTCTATGTAGTAGTAGTGTCTATTTAGTAGTGTGTCTATGTAGTAGTGTGTCTATGTAATAGTGTCTATGTAGTAGTGTGTCTATGTAGTAGTGTGTCTATGTAGTAGTGTGTCTATGTAGTAGTAATGTCTATGTATTAGTGTGTCTATGTAGTAGTGTGTCTATGTAGTAGTGTGTCTATGTAGTAGTGTGTCTATGTGATAGTAGTGTCTATGTAGTAGTGTGTCTCTGTAGTAGTGTGTCTATGTAGTAGTGTCTATTTAGTAGTGTGTCTATGTAGTAGTGTGTCTATGTAGTAGTGTGTCTATGTAGTAGTAGTGTCTATGTAGTAGTGTGTCTATGTAGTAGTGTGTCTATGTCGTAGTAGAGTCTATGTAGTAGTATTGTGTCTATGTAGTAGTAGTGTCTATGTAGTAGTTTGTCTATGTAGTAGTGTCTATGTAGTAGTGTGTCTATGTAGTAGTATGTCTATGTATTAGTGTGTCTATGTAGTAGTGTGTCTATGTAGTAGTGTGTCTATGTAGTAGTGTATGTAGTAGTGTGTCTATGTAGTGGTGTGTCTATGTAGTGGTGTGTCTATGTAGTGGTGTGTCTATGTAGTTGTGTGTCTATGTAGTAGTGTTTATGTAGTAGTGTTTATGTAGTAGTGTGTCTATGTAGTAGTGTGTCTATGTAGTAGTGTGTCTATGTAGTAGTAGTAGTGTCTATGTAGTAGTGTATGTAGTAGTGTGTCTATGTAGTAGTGTGTCTATGTAGTAGTGTTTATGTAGTAGTGTGTCTATGTAGTAGTGTCTATGTGGTAGTGTGTCTATGTAGTAGTGTGTCTATGTAGTAGTGTGTCTATGTAGTAGTAGTGTCTATTTAGTAGTGTGTCTATGTAGTAGTGTGTCTATGTAATAGTGTCTATGTAGTAGTGTGTCTATGTAGTAGTGTGTCTATGTAGTAGTGTGTCTATGTAGTAGTCTGTCTGTGTAGTAGTGTGTCTGTGTAGTAGTAGTAGAGTCTATGTAGTAGTGTGTCTATGTAGTAGTGTGTCTATTGTTGTAGTGTCTATGTAGTAGTAGTGTCTATGTAATAGTAGTGTCTATGTAGTAGTGTCTATGTTGTAGTGTGTCTATGTCGTAGTGTCTATGTAGTAGTAGTGTCTATGCAGTAGTGTCTATGTAGTAGTAGTGTCTATGTAGTAGTAGTGTCTATGTAGTAGTGTCTATGTAGTAGTAGTGTCTATGCAGTAGTAATGTCTATGTAGTAGTAGTGTCTATGTCGTAGTGTGTCTATGTAGTAGTGTCTATGTAGTGTGTCTATGTAGTGTGTCTATGTAGTAGTAGTGTCTATTTAGTAGTGTGTCTATCTAGTAGTGTGTCTATCTAGTAGTGTGTCTATGTAGTAGTATCTATGTAGTAGTGTCTATGTAGTAGTGTCTATGTAGTAGTGTGTCTCTGTAGTAGTGTCTATGTAGTGTGTCTATGTAGTAGTGTCTATGTAGTAGTAGTGTGTCTATGTAGTAGTGTGTCTATGTAGTAGTAGTGTCTATGTAGTATGTCTATGTAGTAGTGTGTCTATGTAGTAGTAGTGTCTATGTTGTAGTAGTGTGTCTATGTAGTAGTAGTGTCTATGTAGTAGTGTCTATGTAGTAGTGTGTCTCTGTGTGTCACTGTGTCTCTCTCTCTGTGTCTCTGTGTGTGTTTCTGTGTGTCTCTGTGTGAGTCTCTCTGTGTGTCTGTCTGTGTATCTTTGTGTGTGTCTCTCTGTCTCTCTCTGTGTGTGTCTCTGTGTCTCTGTGTGTGTGTCTCTCTGTGTGTGTCTCTGTTTGTGTCTCTCTGTGTGCGTCTCTGTGTGTCTCTGCGTGTGTGTGTCTCTGTGTCTCTGTGTGTGTGTCTCTCTGTGTGTGTCTCTGTTTGTGTCTCTCTGTGTGCGTCTGTGTGTGTGTCTCTGTGTCTCTCTGTGTGTCTCTGTGTGTGTGTCTCTGTGTGTCTCTCTGTGTGCGTCTCTGTGTGTGTCTCTGTGTGTGTGTCTCTGTGTGAGTCTCTCTCTGTGTGTGTCTCTCTGTGTGTGTCTCTCTGTGTGTGTCTCTCTGTGTGTGTCTTTCTGTGTGCGTCTCTGTGTGTGTCTCTGTGTGTGTGTGTGTCTCTGTGTGTGTCTCTGTGTCTCTCTGTGTGTCTCTCTGTGTGTGTCTCTGTGTGCGTCTCTGTGTGTGTCTCTGTGTCTCTCTGTGTGTGTCTCTGTGTGTGTCTCTGTGTGTGTCTCTGTGTGAGTCTCTGTGTGTGTCTGTCTGTGTGTCTCTGTGTGTGTCTCTGTGTGTGTGTCTCAGTGTCTCTGTGTGTGTCTCTCTGTGTGAGTCTCTCTGTGTGTGTCTCTGTGTGTGTCTCTCTGTGTCTCTGTATGTGTGTCTGTGTGTGTCTCTCTGTGTCTCTGTGTGTGTGTCTGTGTGTCTCTGTGTGAGTCTCTCTGTGTGAGTCTCTCTGTGTGTGTCTCTGTGTGTGTCTCTCTGTGTCTCTGTGTGTGTCTCTCTGTGTCTCTCTCTGTGTCTCTGTGTGTGTCTCTGTGTGTGTGTGTGCAGCTTTCAAAGCTGGGAGCTAATCTGTGAACTTAAAGTGGAGACACGAAGAAGACAAAGA